AACAATATGTTATTTCGATCTTTATTCGATAACTTTCATATAGCTTACGTTTAAGTTTATTCCATTCTGTTGGTCGTTATTTGTCTATGTATAGGTTTCTTCCCGTATCCTTTAACTGTTATCCTTATATCAATCTTTGTGTGCCGTTTTATGTCCAAACTACCTACCGTCCTGTTTGTTTGACCACTTGTACGTCACCCGTTACGTAATTTTGTTAACCAAAATGAAAACTATTCAGGTTATAAACAACATATTTTCCTTCATATACAATGACTAATTATCAGATGATGTTGTTGATCTGCGGTGCATCTTTGTATCTTACATGTGATTCATACAAAAGAAAACTTCGCTGCTTTATAAGGACAAAGGCAATGAGATTGTCTTGAACTATGACACGTGGATAGCAACGCATGATAAGGAGCCAGTATATGTGAATATTGAAATCCCACGCTAGTTCCTACGATTCAAATAAATATACAAATAAAAATAAAATATGTTTCTGGTATGGTAGATAAGCTACTGGGTGCTGTATAACATTTGACCTTAAATAGACACTCAGGTTGTTACGTCACAAACCTGCGGTTGTGTCGCGACTCTCTGCTGCATTGTAAAATGTAAATGCAGCCCTCCCACGTGTGCGGAAGCCTTATCCTTTCTGTAACCAGAGGTAGAACAAGGAAGTCTGGGAAGTGTGTTTTTCAACATGCTTACTTTAATGTAAATCTTTCAAAATGCTCACGTTCTCTTTCTACATGTTTTAATGGTTTAAATAATTTAATAGAATTTTCGAATTTCAGTAGTTTTTTCGTAATTTGATAACTGCATGTTTCATGTTATACTACTTAACCATTAAACTGTGGACACGTATTCCAAATTGCGTTAAAAACGTTATACAAAGTTATTTCTCATGTTGGAGATTGTTTACATATTATGTATACATAAAACATAATTCCTGGATGACGATAGCGAAGATCGGTGTTTTTGTATTCAGAAAAACTAAACACCATCCTTGTAAACTGAGTTTCCAGGCTCTATTTTTTAATAAACAGGGCCATGAATATCTAGTGTTTGTTCCCTTGTCTTAAGATAATGTTTTTGGCTGAATTAATATGCTCAGAAAAGAAAACACTTTTTTGTATTTTCATTAGATTTACCTTCTTCATGAAGATGTTTTGTCTTTTTGTTTAAAACTTCAACTAGTTAAATGGGGGGGGGGGCGATAGAAGATTCTGTAATATAAAAGTTGATTAAAGGCCATGATTGAAGAAGGTTTGTAAAATATCACAGTCTAAATAAATTAGTAATGGACTGTGGTTTAAGAAATTAGATAAAAATCAGTGGTTTGAGAGGGGTGGATAAGAAGTCATAGTTTGAGAAAGGTTGATGAGAAGGTGTAGTTTGAGAACTTTGTTTAGATACCATCACTTAGAAAGGAAAATTTAAGTTTATGGCATAAAAAGCTAATGAGAAACCATTTTAAAGGAAAGTTGAAGAATGAAAAAATCTTCCTGCAGGTATAGGCAAAAAAGGATGATACTGTATAACCCACAAAAAATAATATGCATATTTTGTATTTGGAAATGCATATATTTATATGTATATATACACTACATACAGAAGTTGAATACGTTATATTGAAACGTTTTTGAAGCCTCACTACGTCGTTACAGTTCAAGTCACTAAGTCTGGTCATGATCCGTCTGACGACCGTGAATCTTAACATTAGCCTGCAGGGTAGTTTCTATTGCAAAAAGCTTTGTAGTAAGGCCATCATGGCCAAAGCACACCCCTCCTATCTAGTGTAGAAGGACGACGGTATTCCAGCTTTCGTTTCTTGAAGTCCAACCGCACAGAAATTCATTGGCACTTCGTCCGGCGACTTGACCGGTAGGTCTTCACATGGAAATGTTTGAATACGCGTTTCATTCTCCAGCTGCTTAACGTATGTGAAGGTTGAAAAAATATGTTGTGAAAGCAGCTTAGTACACGTAGCTAGTACCGCTTTCCAGACAGAAATCCGTCTTGATTATGTTGTATGCTGTTGCCTGAGGCATTTGGACGGTTTTGCCTCTTACTTTGTGTTCGTAGATTCTCAGTTGTTATCAAGATGCAGCACTTTGCTTACCACAGGTGGTACGAGTTGTTGCGGGTCTTTTTGTAGAAGGTCCTGATGCTCGAAGTTGGCCTATATTCCTTTATTTTCTGATGCTATTAAGTACCATGGATATCCCGGACTTGTACATTGTAAATCACATATATAAACGCATTTTTATTATCTAAATGTATGAGCATTTTATGTAGGAAGGGGATGTTATATACCATTCACAAAGACGATCAATATTTGGTGGCATTATTATACCTGCATTACGCCAACAATATCTGAATGTAGTTCTGATACATTCTGTTCCACCGCGACTTGATATCAGCTATGGTTGCTACGTGACCTTCTCATTTGCGTATTAAAATAGTTTCGGTATGATGTATTCAACCCTCTGTGTGTATAACCTCTTATCTTCTGTTGGGAAATAAGTTTGTAACCTGGTTGGTATGTGTGTATTACTTTCTGTTGATTAAAAAGATTTTAATTTCGTACTTTCACCGTTAAAGACAAAAATATCTTCAGAAAACACCCTCTTCTATTTTTTGGTGAAGCTGTAAGTGTTAAAAATGGAGTTTTATGGTCCTTATGAAGAAAGACTGGCGTCATGTAAGGTTTGACATCTTCTGTTTTTCGTACACTTAATTCATCTTAATGCCAGTAAGAATAGTGCTTTATGAAGGGAAAAAAAGTTATGTTACCTCAACATCTGCTAAAAACCATAAGGAACAGTGAGGTGTTCACTCGCCGGAACACGTGTGTGATAAGATGTACATTAATCCGAATGACAAGGCTTATTATACAGGTGGGCATGAATCCTGTTCACAAGTGGGGGGAAAACCGCATTTCTTTTGAGTTGTACATTAAATAAAATCCGCCAGAAAATGTTCTTTATCAACTCTATGTAACGTGATCAAAGTTCCAACCACCATTACTTGAGGTTAGCTGTGTGCTGACCTAACCTTTTTTACGTGACTATAAACTTCAAGAGAAAAACAAACAAAAACTGATGAACCCGCTGTCGCGAGATAGTCAGAAAACCTAGGATGGCCAGTGCTGCTATATAGAAATCACTTTATTGATTTTCCACAGCGGCCGTCGCATCTTGGCGCATCCGTCATCATGTAGAGGGCAGCTCTGTCCTGGTGCCTTGGTAGGAGACTCCACCGCAGCACACTGCAGTAGTCGAAGTGATAATTATAAAACCTAAATCCTGGGTATGGTACGGTAGAAGATAGCGATGGTCGAACTGTGAAGATGAAATTATACAGACTGATGAGGATTAAAGATTCTTTTCAACGTTAAGAATGTGATCAACACTGATGGTATGTTGGAATAGGATATCGTTCGCTATAAAGGAAGGAAACTGACGCAAAAACATTTATGTAGGGATATGTTATCACAAGAAGAAACTTTATTCCAGTAGATGAAGGGAAAACAGCGCCATCAACAGGAATTTCTCAGACAGTTAAGTGTATGAAGAGGAGAAAATATGTACCAAACTCTTTATTATTACCAAGCTGTTAACTTTTTAAACTACACACTTACGTAAACAAGTTTCTGATTCTGTCCTTAACAAATTGAAAATCTAGCTGTATTCGTTCATGTTGTCTCTCTTCTTGATATATATGTGTAGTAGACACAGTTAATTAAAAGCGATTCTCTGCATATTGTGTCAAACTACATAAAAAGTTGGAAGAAATTATTACCGAGTATGTTTTCTTACCCTAGGTGCGAATTAAACAACACAAGTCTGTATATGTTCTAGAAAAACGTAAACCGTGTTTCGCCGTCACAGTTTCTCTCAGAAAATTGTGATATATTTCGGTCAAAGTATATACCTTGACTTGACTGTAGCTTCTTAGGATTGATTACTGCATGTTAGTATACAAAATTGCAACAGTCATTACACAGGGATAAACCAGTGAGAAGACAAAATATAACGAAGTTAAAACACACCAAAATCAAAGCTGGAAATACATCGGGTTTATCGATGTTTATTAGTCATTGTAAGTTAAACTTTTTATGCCTCATCTATATGCATTGCTCTATTAAACGTTTTGATAGCAGGTTCAAGCAACATATTTGAGTATTCTGTGACACATATTAACGACAGCCTTACTAGGAATATTTGTTGCTATAAGCCTAACACTTTCATCACAATATGCGTGGGTCGGCTGAGACCCCGTTCCTTAAAAGAGACGACATGTCTATAGACCAAACCCGTCCGGCCGGTCTTGGAAAGGAAAGGGCGTCATACATATTTAAATGGTGGGAAGGGCCACAGCCTGTACTTGTAGCAGCTCTCAAGTGGGAACTCGTCATTTCAGCTCTCAAAGCTGCGTCTATTACATCGATAGTGTTAGCTCTCGGAATCACTTTGATAGGAACATATTTGTTCACAAGCAGCGGAACAGCCCGGCCAGTAGAACCCGACTGTACTCTTCTTCAAGCTCCCTTCGCTGGCCGCCAGTTTACCTGCGAGGCCAAGAACCATTGTCCACTCGATTGGATTCCAAGTCTTGCAGCTGTTGTAACTTTAGTGGACGTTTTCTTTGCCGCTTTATTCGGCGGTTTGTTGGCGCTCAGTAGCTCCAACATGCATTCACGTCGTCAACTCAAGGGATCCCGGCAGCAGCCGGAGCCGGACACTCTTGTTCAGAGCAGTTCTTCCACCTCCTCACAAGAGTTCCGATCATCCTTCAGCTCGAGCGAAGTCAGGACCTCACAAACGTCACGGGTCATCCGTAAAACCACGACTATGGTACAAGGTGGTGACCAGCAGACTGTCACTACCAACGTGGTGTCACCGGGTCGTACAATCACAACACAACATATGGTCAAGCAGGAATCGTCGTCGTCTGTAGGTCGCACTGATCGTACCGACAAAACCCGGAAAGTCCAGGGTCCGATAAAGAGTTCAACTTCTCGAAAGGTCCTGGCCACAACAACTCCTGGGAACAAACGAATCACCACGAAAACAGTGGAAAAAATTGAGAAGAAACAGAAGGTGGGCATCTTTGGTAAACTACAGTAGTTTCTGTTGGTAAAGTTTTGAAATTTTTCATTTTGGGTTTGTTTGTATATTATTATTTTAAAGCTGTGTAAAGAACGAGTCTGCTGCAAATTAACTTTGAGTGGTTCGTTCCTTTAGAAAGATTGCTTTTCAGGATTATATATATAAGTGAGGAACTGCAAATCAAGTATTTGCGTAAATATTTAAAGTTGACACGGCTTTAAGTGAGGTTGCAGTGGTTAATTTGTTTCAAATATTTCTAGTTGCGAGATTGTGCAAGGAAGTAACCTTCTTGGGGAACTATAAGTCAAGTTAGAGTTTCTGGTTGACCGGATTTGGTATAGGGCAATTATAGGTGCTATGCAGTGTATAGGGCAATTATAGGTGCTATGCAGTGTATAGGGCAATTATAGGTGCTATGCAGTGTATAGGACAATTATAGGTGCTATGCAGTGTATAGGACAATTATAGGTGCTATACAGTGTATAGGACAATTATAGGTGCTATGCAGTGTATAGGGCAATCTTACGAAGTTACGGTAGGTCCAGTTTTGAAGGTTCTGTTTCTGTTGGTAAACAATGGAAAGGGGGTTTGTTTCCCCATTAAAAGCAATCGTAACATTATTCTGACAGTAGTGGTTAGCTTCTC